TGCCTGTTCATATCCTTTGCCCATTTTTTAATTGGGTTATTTGTCTTTTTGTTGTTGAGGTTTTGCAGTATCTTGTAGATTTTAGAGATTAGATAGCTGATTGGATGTGTCGTAGCCAAAATTTTTTTTCCAGTCTTTAGGTTCTCTTCTGACTCTTTTAATGAAGTCTTTTGATGAGCATAAGTGTTTGATTTTTACGAGCTCCCAGTTACCTAGTTTCTTTTCTGGTGTTTGTGCATTGTTACTTACAGTTCGTATTCTGTTTATGCCATGTATTAGGGCTTCTACCGTTGTCCCCATTTTTTCCTCCATGATCTTTATCATTTTAGATTTTATATTTAGGTCTTTGATCCATTTTGAGTTAGTTTTTGTGCATGATATTGAGGGTCTTGTTTCAGTTTTTTGCAGATGGATATCTGGTTATGCTAGCACCATTTGTTAAAGAGACTGTCTTTTCCCCAATTAATGGACTTTGGGCCTTTGTCAACTATCAGCTGCTCATAGGTGGATGAATTTGCGTCTGGATTCTCCATTCTGTTCCATTGGTGTGTGTATCTTTTGTACCAGTACCAGGCTGTTTTGACTACCGTGGTGGTAAAATAGTTTCTAAAATCAGTTAGTGTGATGCCTCCCACTTTGTTCTTCTTGAATAGTGCTTGGACCCTTGTTCTTAAACATTGAAAATATATGGTATATTGACTCTGAAACAACAGAAACTCCTTCATACATAATCAGATTTATTTGGCAGCTACGTGTGGTTTTAAAGTGAAAGAATAAGAGTGAGATTTCAGTAAAATATTCAAGACCGGGATTTAATTTATTTGCAAGTCCTGGTAAGCAACTACTTAAACAGCAGATATTTAGGAAAGACGTCAGGGGTGTTTATTTTCACTTTTTGAAAATTAGTCTTGAGAAAAGGATGAGATATTTCCAAACAACTCCAGCAAAGGTACTGTTTTGAAATGCCTGATGGTGAAAGCCCCTCTTCACTGTACTCGACTGGAGGGAGGAAAGCTGAGTATTTCCTGGTGTGCTTCCAGCTGCCTCACTGTCACCAGGTAGGTGACCACAGTGGGAGGTGCTCAGTGATGGTGGTTTCTCTGTGGGGCATTTTACCAGGAGACGTTTTCTGCTGGAAAGAAGGGCAGGCAATGGTCCTACAGTATCCAGTGTGGAGTCTTGCTGAGGTGAATATTTTGTTTTCCTGTCTTCGAGGGAAGTATTTCTGTTTATTTCTTCCTTTATTCATTTATTCAACAAGTATTTATTGGGAGCTGATTATGTGTCAGGGTCCCTGGGTGGCGCAAACGGTTTGCCCTTGACTGCTAACCTAAAGGTTAGCAGTTTGAACCCACCCAGCAGCACTGTGGAAGAAAGACCTGACAATCTGCTTCTGTAAAGATTACAGCCAAGAAAACCCTATGGAGCAGTTCTAATCAGTAACACATGGGGTTGCCGTGAGTTGGAATCAACGTGATGGCAATGAGTTTGGTTTTTTATTATGTCTCAGACACTGTTTCAGGCATTGCAAATACAGTGGCCAGATAAACAGACAGAATTTTCTACCCTTGAGCTCACATTCCACTTAGGCCATCTTAGAGCAGGTTTGGGCACTGGTGGAGGAAAATTTCCGAGTTGCCTTACCTATTGCAATGCATCATACATAGGCCCGAGCCACCGTCTGGTTCACTTGACTGCCATTTTTATACTAGCTTCACCCTGATTTTAGTGAAGCAATTCAAAAAACAAGTGAAGTATGTTATATGTTAGAAGGTCACAAGTGCTAAGCAGAAAAATAAAGCAGAGAAGTGGGATAGGAAGGAGGAGTTTGCAATTTTAGATGGGATGTCAGGAGAGCCCCCACTGAGAAGGCAACACTTAAGACTCCAAGGAGATGAGGAACCAGCCATGCAGATCTCTAGGGGACGAGCGTTCCGGGCAGAGGGAACAGCAAGTGCAAAGCTCTGAGATGCCTGGAATATTCAGGAATAACAAGCAGGCCAGAGTGGCCAGAGCCCAACAGACGAGGAGATGAGGTCAGAGATGGATGTAGGGCCTTTGGCCACTGAAAGGACTTTGCCTTTTACTCTGACTGAGTTAGGGAAACAGTGGGGATTTTGAACACAGGATGGCATGATTTGAGAAAGAAAGAGTAGGAGGGAGAGAGGGGCACTTTCCTCCCTCCCACTTAATCACTGTCCCAAATACAAAACCTGTGCACGTTGTGTCTGTGCAGAAATAGAAAATGACCCAGTGGAGCTGTAGGAGAGGTTGTAAGGGCCCTGACGCCTGAAGTGGATAAAGGTGAAGGGACAGAGGCAGAGAACTGGGACTTCCTCTAACGTGGGATGGCCTTAGTCATTTGAAGTCTCGTTTTTCAGAGGATTTTCTGGGTTTTATATATGCTCTTAAGAAAAAAAGCCTGTTGCCATCGAGTCGATTCCAACTCATAGCGACCGTACAGGACAGAGTAGAGCTACCCCATAGGGTTTCCAAGGAGTGCCTGGTAGACTTGAACTGTCTACCTTTTGGTTAGCAACCATAGCTTTTAACCACCGTGCCACCAGGGTTTCCATATATGCTCTTAGGCTTGTGTAAAACTGAACCATTTTCTTTATAAGCATCTATATCAAAAGAGTGTTCTTTTCCTTATCAAAGGCTGGTCTGCTTTATCCTGACCAGCAGATTACTGGATTCAGTAAAAGCCTTTCCTGTTTCTCTACACCTCACTGCAGCCTTTGAAATAAAGATCTTATCTAAAAAGACCTGGGATGTGAAACACTTTGAATTGGATTGCAAGGAGTGTCTGTGTGTGTGCAGTGCTGGGAGATTCATTGTCTGCATAATACTGAGAGGGGCTTTTCTTCCCTGGAAAACCCAGCTTTACTATACTGATGGTTTTTAACGACTGGTTTTCTTAATTACAGGTAACTTGTTTTTCCTTATGATAAAGCTGGCATTTGGCTAATGAGCAAGGTGGTCAGGTCATCGTGTGAATCAGAGGTGCAAATCTGGGAAACAGAAGAGGATGACATGACAGAAGGAGACTTAGGATATGGCCTTGGACGAAGACCTGGTGGTATTTATGACGTAGAAGTTTCACATTTATTTACATCTAGAAAAAGATCAGCTAGAAAGATCTTGAGCCCTCCTCCATCTCCAAGAAAGGGGGAAGAAAGTAGTGGGGCTATTTTTCAGTATTCCAAGCATAAGAGTTTGCAAGATGCATATCCTCAAGGGCCCAGAATTCCCAGTTACAGACGACAATGTAGCACTGGTAAGAATAGCTAATTTCCTGCCCTTCTTTCCTCTCCCCTGTGGATTTTATCAATGCTGTAACCTTCCAACACGTGAAAGTGGGTGACCATGGTGGGTTTTAGACATTCATCTTTTTCACCTGCCTCTTGGATTGGTGATAGTATAAAAGCAATTGATGTTTATATTTCCAAGTATTGTACTAAAATGTGAAGAATAGTAATATATGTTAGTGATACCAGTAAGTGATTCCCTACCTTTCTTTTTTTTGGGTGTGTGATGTAAATGGTATGTGTTACTTATTCTTTTATTTTTTTCATATTCAATAAATATTTGTTAGGCACCTTTCAGGTGCCCAGCCCTATTCTCGGCAATGGGAATAGTATCAGTGAATAAAATAACCAAAGGCCCTAATGTCATGGAGTTTACATTCTAGCAGAGGAGACAGAAAATAAACCTACAAATAACCTACACAAATGCTTCCAGTTATTTCAGAGATGTCATGAAATCCTCAAAAATTATCAAAACAAAACCATAACTTAATTTACCATAACCAAAAAGAAATTCATGCCTCATATTAAGGAAGGAATAAAATTCAGGATCATACTGTGATAGAATGTTGTAACTTCAAAGTGATGGGGAATCGGTGGATGAATGCCTGCATGCACTGTGGTGCCAGCTCGTCTGCTGAATTTTTTGTAATCCCTGTTGTAAAAGTTCTCCTGAAACTTCCCCATCAAAGGCGAACAAACACAAATTAGAACAAAGCAAAATTAATTTAAGAAACATGATTTCAGATCCACAAAAATGCGTTGCAGCCTGTGATCCATCCACATCGTTCAAAATCCTTCTTGAAATTAGGATGAGATTATATATATTTCTTTCAGTTCCTAATCTTTTCTATAACAGATGGGTACTGTTGCAAGCAAGATGTTGAAAACTGAACATGTTGCTAAGATGCCTTCATAGAAGTATGCTAAAACTGCTAGGTATAAACAAGACTTGATGATAGTATGAGCCTGTTTTGTTGGGTTATAGACTTTTCTCTTTTTATCAAAGTTGGTGTGACCCTAGGCAAGGGTATTGTGTTAGTTTCCTATTGCTGCTGTAACAAATTAACCACAAACTTAGTGACTTAAAATGACACAAATGTATTATCTTACAGTTTTAAAGGCCAGAAGTCCAAACTGGGTTTCACTGGGCTAAAGTCAAGGTATTGGCAAGGCTGGGTTCCTTCTGGAGTCTGGGAGAAGGCCTGTTTCCTTGCCTTTTCTAGCTTCTAGAGGCTGCTTGCATTCCTTGGCTGGTGGCCTCTTCCTCCATTTTTGAAGCCAACAGCGTAGCATCTCTAATCTCTCTCTGACCTCTGGTTCCTTCATCACATCCTCTCTGATTCTCCTGCTTCCCTCTTATAAAGACCATTGTGATTAGATTGGGCCCACCCAGATAAACCAGGATAATCTCCCCATTCCAAGATCCTTATTTTAACCACATCCGCAAAGTCCCTTTGCCACATGAGGTAACATATTCACAGGTTCTGGGGATTAAGATGTGCATATTTTTGAGGAGCCATTATTCTGCTTACCACAGGTAAGAACAGAATTTGTCCTTGCCAGCTCAATGTCACGTCTGTCTATCTTGAAACCCTGTATCATCAGAGTAAAAACATGGTTTAGGTTTTGCCTTGGGTACTGTCATGTTGATGAAAGTTCAGAATATCAAGGAAAAATAATACTTTGAGAAAATGTTGAGGTATTATTCCTTTCTCTTTTTCTTATCCTTTTGCTTGTAACTTACCACCTTAAGGTTTTTCTATTGCCAGTGAGACCCCAATGCAAATGAAGCTCCTGGGAAGCTCAGTTTAAACTCTCAATTGATCACATTAAGGAGAGAATAATTGAAGTTACAGGAGACTTCTGGTCATTCTCCTTGGAAAAAAAAATTAAATTTAGATTATTTCTTAGATATTCATATCACTGTATTGATCAGGCTTAAACCAAACCTCAAAATTTGTTTGTTTTACCCACCAACATTCATGCTTTTCTATATTGTGTTAAGAAGTAGAAATTAAACAAATCATTAACCTTGGTTTTAATTTGGAATCTTTTTTATTCATTACCTTTATTCAAAGTATATCTTTTCATTTGTGAAATGTTTTAAGCTAAATATTTTCATTATTACTTGGATTATTACAATTCTTCTTTCTTTGCAATTTAAGGGAAATCTGTATTTGGTATTTTGTAAACAAATATCTTATATTTTACTAGTTAAGAAAAATTTTAAGTTTGTTTTTTGTTGTTTTTTTAAATAGATTCTAATTCAGAATTGTCAAATGTAGAATTAAGGCAACGTCTTCATGAAACTTTAGAGGTAGGTACTTTGGCTAATATGAAAATCCTCATCTGAAAAAAGTCCGCTGATAGATATTTTGTTTAAATAATACTAAAATATGGAAGGCAAATATTGGCTTTCTAGATAGTCTCGATGACCCACAGTCTAAAGCTTGTACCTTTCAACTGGTCTGTTTCCTATCCTCCTCATCTCTCTGTCTGCTTATATAAATGTGCCCACCAGTTCCCCCTGTCAGCCTTACTTCTCTAGTCTCGTCTTGGAGAAAATAGTTGTCACTTCCTTTCATCTGCCTTCCTTGTACATATGGCTTGAAACAACCTGATGTAATTTAACCTCCTTGAAAGTCAGAAGAACAGTTATCCCTGGTAGCTTCACTAGTGGATCCAGACTGGTGGAAGTAGGAATTTCTATGAAGGGTGCCCGTGGTCTGGGAAACAGGAAGCCTATATTAGTGTGGGATTGTGGCTCTTCTTATGAAAACTATTATAGCTGTGTGGATGGCCACGTGCTTATTTTATGAGGCCTAAAGATATTTTTTCCTCAAACTATTAGCTGTGTGGCCTAGATGGGTAAAAGCAAAAGCTTTGGGCTTTTAGGCACAACTGGCATCGGACAGTGAGGCTCTCAATTTCAGCCTCTCTGGTCACTTACAAAGTCTAGAAGAATTTCCAATTTCATTTGTAAAGTCAAAGTGCTTTGAGCCCAGATTAAATGTGCATTAGCCAAACTGATAGTATTTGGGTTGCATATCTGCAGATGGGAAGACTAATTTTATTTCTGTCCCCAGGAGGTAGAAGTTTTAAAAACTGAGCTTGAGGCATGTCAAAGACAACTTGAAGGTAAAGAAGAAGCATTGAAAATTCTTCAAAGCTTGGTAAGAAGTTACTTTTGAAATTTCATCACTTAAACATTCCAATAATAAGTGGTGTCTTTCATGGGACATCACCGTAATTGGCCTAATAACGTGTTTAGTATTTCTGCTGTACCTCCTAATCCATTGCATAGTGCCTAGGGTCTTAGAAACTTGCAAGTGGCCATTCAAGGCACCCATAAAACTAAACCCACTGCTGTTGAGTCAATTCCAACTCATAGCAACCGTATAGGACAGGGTAGAACTGCCCCATAGGGTTTCCACGGAGCGCCTGGTGGATTTAAACTGCCAAAACTTTTGGTTAGCAGCATAGCTCTTAACCACCAGGGTTTCCATTCAAGGCACAATTGGTCTCTATTTGCTTGGAGCGACAGAGGAAGAAGGAGTCAGGAATAGGAGGAAGAAGTGGAATGTGTGGCTAATTGCTTACTTGAACAACTGCCTGCTTTGCTATGAGACGAGAAGAACTGAACAATGCCTGGCTACCATTATTGAACATTTTGAGCCAATATTTTATAGAAGAATCCTGATCCAAAGGGGGAAAATGCAGAGTAGAATTTCAAATTCTTATGGACTCCAGACTTTCTGGAGCCATGGAGGCTGGATGAACTCCTGAAACTATTGCCCTGAGATAATCTTTAAACCTTAAACCAAAAATACTCCCCGAAGTCTTCTTAAAACCAAACAATAGTTATGCTTAACTGGTAAAGAATGTCTGCCTTAAGCATTGTGCTCTTTTAAGAACTACCTATATGGGATCAGATTGACAACAGCAACTTGAAAGATTAGATAGGAACCTCAGGGGGCAGTGAGTTTATGTTGATGGGGGAGGAACAATTCCGAAAAGAAGGGTGAGAATGGTTGCACAACTCAAAGAGTGTAATCAGTGTCACTGAATTGTACATGTAGAAATTGTTGAATTGGTGTATGTTCTGCTGTGTATATTCTAAACTAAACTAAAATAAAATAAATTATAAAAAAAAAATGGTGTGGCTTCAGCCTTTAAAATGAAAACAACGGTGCTTATTATAGGTTTTTTTTTTGCGGTATAGATTTTTTAACAGCTTTGAGATATAATTTACATACCATAAACGTCACTAATTTTAAATGTACAATTCAGTTTCTTTTTACTCAATTTACAGAGTTATGCAACCAACACCACAATCTAATTTTAGAACATTTCTATCACTCTAAAAGAGGAAACTGTTCCCATTAGTAGTCAGTCACACCTCCATCCCCAGACAACCACTAATCTACTTTTCTCTTATAAATTTCCCTTTTATATTTCATATAAATAGAATCATGCAATATATGATGTTTTGCATCTAGTTTCTTTTGATTAGCATGTTTTTGAGGTTTATGCATGTTTTGCATGTATCAATATTCTGTTTCTTTTTATTGCCAAATGATATTCCATGGTATACCATATTTTGTTTATCCATTCACCAGTTGATGGACATTTGGGTTGTTTCCACTTTTTAGCTATTATGAATAATACCGTTATGAATGTTTGTGCACAGGTCTTTGTGCAGACATACGTTTTAATTACTTTTGGGTACATACCCAGAAGTAGAATTGCTGGGTCATATAACCTGTTGTCGTCGAGTTGATTCCAACTCATAGCAACCCTATAGAACAGAGCAGGACTGCCCCGTAGGGTTTCCAAGGAGCGGCTGGTGCATTAGCCAAATTGATAATATTAGCCAAGCTCTTAATTAGAAGCCAAGCTCTTAACCACTGCGCTACCAGGGCTCCGCTGGGTCACATAGCCAATTTATATTCAAGTTTCTAAGAAACTGCCATACTGTTTTCCAAAATGGCAACACCATTTTCTATAACTCCCAGCAATGTATGAGGGTTTCAGTTTCCCTACATTTTTGCCAATACTTGTTATTTTCTGTCTTTTTTTATTTTAGCCATTCTACTGGGTCTGATTTTGATTTGCATTTACCTAATGACATGATGTTGAGCATCTTTTCATGTACTTATCGGCCATTAATATAGTTTTTATTTTGTTTTGGATTTTATTTCTTGGCCCATTCTTCAACTATTTATCTCTCTTTCCTCTTTTTGGCCTTTTTACATTCTTGATTTTTACACTTGCATCTGTTTTAATTTTAGATGACAAAACAAAGTGCAGCTTATATGAGGTAACCAGTGGTGTGCTGAAATTAGCCTGTATCAGCTTATGAGACCCAACTCTTATATTTTCAGAAATTGTTTCAGCTGTTTGTTGAGCATAGCCATTATTAAAAATTAATTTACATAATCTTACAACCAAATATATTAAAAACAAAAAGGTAATAAGTACTAAAAACTCATCATGTCCTAGAAATTTTACATTTTACTATTACCTGATTCAGTAAGGAGGTTGCTCATGGCATCAACACGTGAGTGAAGTTCCAACATATGTCTTCGCTTATCTTACTCCTTAAACTAAACCAAATAGCAACCAGCATTCGTGTCCGCAATATACTTGTTCATCAGTTGCAATCATAGGCTGACTACAGATATAAATTTACAAAAGCATTCTGTGAGATCAGTTGGCTGTTTGGAATTAAAGAGTAATGTTTGCTTATTATTATATGTCAATTATATGTCTCACATCCTTTATGTCAGTACAATTTATAATATATATGTGTATATGTATGCATATGTTTGGGGTCCTGGTGGCACAGTGGTTAAGAGCTCAGCTGCTAACCTAAAGGTCAGCAGTTTGAATCCACCAGCCACTCCTTGGAAACCCTATGGGGCAGTTCTACTCTGTCCTATAGAGTCTCTGTGAGTTGGAATCGACTAGATGGCAACGGATGTGCATATGTATGTGTATATGTATAGTATATATATGCATACACATATTATAATGCATATACATATTGTGTATATATGTATATATATACACACAAACACACAAATATGTATTATTGTTGTTGTTGTTAGGTGTTGTCTAGTCAGTTGCAACTCATAGCGACCCTGTGTACAGCAGAACGAAACACTGCCTGGTTCTGTGCCATCCTCACAATCGTTGTTATGCTTGAGCCCATTGTTGCAGCCACTGTGTCAATCCACTTCATTGAGGGTCTTCCTGTCTTTCGCTGACCCTCTACTTTACCAAGCATGATGTCCTTCTCCGGGGACTCGTACCTTCTGATAACGTGTCCAAAGAATGTGAGATAAAGTTTTGCCATCCTTGCTTCTAAGGAGCATTCTGGCTGTACTACTTCCAAGACAGATTAGTTTGTTCTTCTGACAGTCTATGGTATATTCAATATTTTTCACCAATATTATAATTCAAAGGCATCAGTTCTTCTTCGGTCTTCCTTATTCATTGTCCATCTTTCGCGTGCATATGAGGCAATTGAAAACACCATCGCTTGGGACAGGTGCATCTTAGTCCTTAAAGTGATGTCTTTGCTTTTTAACAATTTAAAGAAGTCTTTTGCAGCAGATTTTCCCAATGCAGTATGTCATTTGATTTCTTGACTGCTGCTGCCGTGGGCATTGATTGTGGATCCATGCAAAATGAAATCCTTGACAACTTCAATCTTTTCTCTGTTTATCATGATGTCATATATTGGTCCAGTTGTGAGGATTTTTTTCCTTTATGGTTGAGGTATAATCCACACTGAAAGCTGTAGTCCTTGATCTTCATCAGTAAGTGCTTGAAGTCCTCTTCACTTGCAGCAAGCAAGGTGTATCATCTGCATAATGCAGGTTGTTTAGGAGTCTTTCTCCAATTCTGATGCCCTGTTCTTCATATAGTCCAACTTCTTGGATTATTTGCTCAATATACGTATTGAATAAGTATGGTGAAAGAATACAACCCTGATGCACACCTTTCCTGATTATAAACCACGAAGTATCCCCTTGTTCTATCCAAACGACTGCCTCTTGGTCTGTGTATAGGTTTCTCATGAGCAGAATCAAGTGTTCTGGAATTCCCATTCTTTGCAGTGGTATCCATAATTTGTTGTGATCCACACAGTCAAATGCCTTTGCACAGTCAATGAAACACAGGTAAACATCTTTCTGATATTCTCTGCTTTCAGTCAGGATCCATCTGAAATCAGCAGTGATACCCTTCGTTCCATATCCTCTTCTGAATCCGGCTTGAATTTCTGGCAGTTCTCTGTCAATGTACTGCTGCAATCACTTTTGTATGATCTTCAGCAAAATTTTACTTGCATGTGGTATTAATAATATTGTTTGATAATTTCTGCATTCTGTTGGATCACCTTTCTTTGGAATAGGCATAAATATGGTTCTCTTGCAGTCGGTTGGCCAGGTAGATGTCTTCCAGATTTCTTGAGTGATCACCTCCAGTGCTGCATCCATTTGTTGAAGCATCTCCATTGGTATTCTGCCAATTCCTGGAGCCTTGTTTTTCGCCAGTGTCTTCAGTGCAGCTTGGACTCCTTCCTTCAGCACCGTTGGTTCCTGATCATATGCTACATACTGAAATGATTGAAGATTGACTAATTCTTTTTGGTACGGTGACTGTGTATTCCTTACATCCTCTCTTGATGCTTCCTGCATCGTTCAGTATTTTGCCCATAGAATCCTTCAATATTGCAACTCGAGGCTTGAATTTTTCCTTCCGTTCTTTCAGCTTGAGAAATACTGAGCCTGTTCTTTCCTTTTTGTTTTCTAACTCCAGGTCTTTGCACATGTCATAATACTCTACTTTGTCTTCTTTAGCTGCCTTTTGAAATCCTCTGTACAGCTCTTTTACTTCACCATTTCTTCCTTTTGCTTTAGTTACTCGACATTCAAGAGCAAGTTTCAGAATCTCTTCTGACATCCATTTTGGTCTTTTCTTTCTTTCCTGTTGTTATGGATTGAATTGTGTCCCCCAAAAATATGTGTCAACTCGGTTAGGCCATGATTCCCAATATCGTGTGGTTGTCCTCCATTTCGTGATTCATGTAATTTTCCCATGTGTTTTAAACCCTAATCTCTGCCTGTGGTTAATGAGGCAAGATTGGGTTATGTTAAAGAGGTTT